CTCTCTCTCTCTCTCTCTCTCTCTCTCACACTCTCACTCTCATGGAAATTATGACCGAGATGAATTGGAGATTACCAAACGTGACCCAATTTTTGTTCCCCTAGATGATTTCAAGGACAATTATGCTTCCTTTTTCATTTTTTTTTGTTTTTTTTTTTGATACGAATAATACAAAAAAAGAATAAGAGGAGAGAAGAATCGAGGATTTTAAATACGTTCGTGATAAAAATGAATATATGTATCTAAAAAGGAAAAACAGAAGAAGGAAGGATAGGTATGCCTGTAAATTAATCAAAAAAAGTTAATATTGTGATCGTATGTTTAAAGAATTAATTAATGATTTATCTTATCGCGCATTTTTTTTTTCATTCAATTTGTTTTAAATTATGTAATGTCAATCGTTAATTAATTCTTTTCTTTTTTTGTTTGTTTTCTATGTGTAATTTTTCAACGCAAACTCTACTTTTATATAATTACACACACATATATCTACTTATATACAATATTGCGAATTTCTTTGAACAAGAATTTTAAAGCAAAGAGGAGAAGAATGATCGAACATTCAAATTCATTTGTATTTAAAAAAAAAAAAAAAAGAAAAAGGAAAAGTGTGTAAAAAGTAAGGATACGTAAAATATATGTAAAAATAATACACATAATGCGTGTATAATATACTGTGCGTTTCTCTGTGTGTGTATGTGTATGTACAGTTATATGTAAATAGGGTAAAAGGGATAATTATATGTAAAGGTATATCGATGAACTTTTTTATGTTTTTTTTTTTCTTTGATGATAATAATAATTATCCCTAATTCGCGAGAGTGTAATCAATCCTCCTCTAAATTTGTGTTCGTTATTGATCAACGAAAAGTTTGATTTTAGTAACCTTGTTAAGTTTAGTAACATTGAGAATAAAAATATATATATATGTATAGTGCTTGATGATGATCGTGCCGAGATCGTCTCTCACCAGATGCACCAGAGATTGGACGAGGAGGCAGACAGGATTTCCGGCAGCTTGAATGACCTCGACCGCTCGTTCGTGTGTACTATTCCGCAGATCCACTCCGTCCACTTCGATTATTCTGTCACCGATCTGTATAAAAAAAAAGAAAGAAAGAAAGAAAAAAGAAAAAGAAAAAACAAAAAAAAAAAAATTGGAAAAAAAGTAGAGAAAAAATAATAATAATAAAAAGAAGAAGAAGAAGTAGTAGTAGTAGTAGTAGTAGTAGTAGTATAGAAAAAAAACATGCAATGTTGTTAATATATAAATATGTGTAAATAAATCGCACGTTGCAATTCATTGTCAATCCTCCCACCCTCCCTTCAACCCCCCGCGTCTTTTTATCTTTATCGATAGATTTGTTAATAAATTATAAATTAAATAAATAAATGTTGCATCATACCATAATACAAAAATAATTATAAAGGAAACGTTCATTATATTTGTTACTATCTTTCCTATTCTCTATTTTATATGAATTAATTTATATTTATCAATCACATATCGCGCATAGAAATAATTATGTGATTATTTATAATAATAAATTGTTAACTAATCGATTAATGAAATAAAATTATTCATTTTATGATATCTAACAATATTATTTATCTATATATATAGTTGATTCATATAAATATAAAACTTTTATTATATGGTTTAGCAATATAAATTAGAAAATGAAGACAAGCAATATACATATAATAAATATTCACGAATATATATTTACGATATATTATTAGATTGTAATATATATGTATAATATCATACATATTTATATGAATCAATTTAATAAATCTTAATCCTCTCATATTTGACAATACACGTACGAATCCTATCAACATATTAAATCTACATTTTTTTTTTAAATAAATTATCGTTCAATTTTTCACTTACACACTATACCTCACATATTTATTCAAGAAAAGACAATTTAATTATCCCTCCCCCCTTTCTATCTCTCTAATTATTATTTTGTTACCTTCAACTCTCCAGTTCTTCCAGCAGGACTGTTAGGCAAAACGTTCTTAATAAATATCCCAGAAATATTCTGGGACTTACTGGAACTGCCATTGTGTAAATCGACCTGAAAAATCGTATTGTTATCGATTAATCATCTATCTTTATCTCTTTATCTCTTTCTCTCTCTCTCTCTTTGTCTTTGTCTGTGTCTGTGTCGGCTATTTGCATGATATAAATCAAAATGATTTACGAACTTGGTGGTGGTTGTGCCTAATTTAAACGATTACCCAACAAACAACACGTATTGTAAGATATTATCTTATCCCCGTTAGAAGATATTCTTCTATTCGTACGAAAAACATAAAAGATCTTTTTAACGATGCGCAATTTCGATCTAAATAACTCGTAACATACACACAGACACAAAAATACAGGCACGTGGACGCGCGAAAATAACTTTTCATTTAAACGAACAATTTTCATCCAATTTCAAGATGACTTATGAATATTTTGTTCTTTTTTCCTAGTACCCCCAGCCCCGCCGTCCCTGCCTCCTGTTTCATTAGAACTCCGAAGAAAATTTTCTAATTAAAATACGATACTCTAGGGAAACCAAACCAAGTTATCTTGTAATTTTTCTTCTTAATAATAAAATATATTATATATTATATAATATATGTATAATATAATTAGTATTATTATATATATTTAATATTATAATATTATTTTTATATTATTTTATATACTATTCTTATATATTATTCTTATATTATTATTCTATATATATATATCTTCAATTATTTTCCATTATCTAATTGAAATTGAATAAATTTTTAATATAATTCCTAATCATTTTTAATTCAAACTCGATAGTGGTTTTATTATTAGATACCGATAGATGAAACTTTTAAACGAATTTCTTTTCTCCATTAGACTGTTTCACTGTGAGTGCAAATTATTGGTAAGAGGAAACGAGCATGTTCTCTTTCTCATATATATATATATTATGTATACACACACACACGTGCTCTCATGCACACAGAGTATATGCATAAAATACGTATGCACGCGCGCGCGCGCGTGTTCAATTTCATTCACTCTCACTCACACTCTTCACCCTATCAGCTTAATGTCACGAAACTGCATTAATATACTTATATACGATGGATGCATCTACTACTCTCTATCGTACATATATCTTTCGGTTACGAAACGAAATTACTTTGATACAGGATAATATAAGAACATAAAGGATTCTCTTTTTCTTTATGAATCAACCCCTTTTTTACTGCATACAAAATTAATTTTAAAAAATTACATTTTTCTACTCTCCTGAAACCCCTTTTCACTGATATTTAATAATTAATCATTTAATTTTTAATTATTTATTAACGATATATTTTCTTGAAAATCTTTTGATCTTTATTCTAATCGTCATTTAATATAACGTAACATTGATCAATTCAAAAAAAAAAATCAAAGGTTATATTGATTAAAAATTAAAATGAAATTGTTTAGAATACAAGATTGTATTTTTTATTTCGAACATCGTGTAATTAACGTTGGTATGCAATTTAATGTTCTATGGTATTAATCAATTTTAATTGAAAGTTACGTTTTCATTAGAACAAAAAGAAATGATTGATAACGTATAATAATTCATTGAAATTGTTCCTTCGTTTTTTTTTTCTTATTAGCAATACCCTATATGTTACAGTGATATGTGATTAATATTCTATAATACTAATCAATTCTAATTAAAGGTTACGTAAATCGATTATCGATAAAACACGTGTTAATCCTGATATCCTATTTTATTTTTAACATCCTATAAATAACACGGACACATAATTCAATATTTCATAATGATCATCGTCGAATCAAAAAAAAAGAAACCATCGTTCACTTGATCCTTCATCTGAATTTTGATTTTTTTTTAAATAATTTCACGATATATATTACGATTACATTTTGAAATAAAACACGTTTTGTTGATTGTAAATTTCTATTATATTCGTGACACCCGGTATATAATGCAGCACAGGTATGTACTAATAGACAACGATATACCCACTTTATTTTCAAACGGTATAACACATCAATTTGCTACGATGTAGTACGTATGTAACTAATAAAAATTCACTTTCATTCAATAACGTAACGCTAGCGTGACCATTCTTCTTTTGTCCCTCATCTTTTATGTGTGTATGTGTGTGTCTGTGTGTGTGTGTTATTTTGTATCATACAGTAGAAGAAAAAGAACTAGAACCAGAAGCAGAAGAAGAATAAGAAGAAGAAGAAGAAGTTGTTTAACATGAGAAGAAGGAATACGATTCTTATACTTGATCTTTTGAATTTGAAAGTAACATAATAAAGCATAGTAAAGTGGTCTTCTATTTAGCCTATCATAATCATTTTACATTGTGACAAAAAAAAAAAAAAAAAAAAGAAAAAGAGAGAGAAAGAGAATGATAAAAGTAAACTAACAAAAACAACAAGAACCAATTGAGAATAATTAACTCACCTTTCCGCCAACGATACTAAGTCCCAAACTTGTTTTAGGTTCCCTATAAATTTCAACGAGTCTTTCGGGACCCCAATGATTAGACCACGCGACGTTACCGTCGTGATCCCTTTGCGTGACCGTCATGATCGTTTTACCCTCGACGAATACAACGGTTGTAAGTTTACGTGACGGTGAAACCAAAGTTTCGGGTTTTTTAACAACAGTTGTAGTTGTTAGGGTAACCGGTCTGCTGCTGCTGCTACTCGACGAGGATGATCTTTCTAATTGACGTTGTTGTTGTTGTTGTTGTTGTTGTTGCGATGATTCGTAAGATTGTAATTCTTCATCTGTACATTGAATTGCTTTCGATTCTTGATAAGTTTGAACTTCAACTTCTTTTCGTTGACTACTTAAAAAAGTATCCTCTTTATCTTCTTTCCTTGATTTCTTCTTTTCCCCTTCCTCTTCCTTTCGTTCAATCGATTTAGTGGTGGACGGTGTTTCACCTGATATATCTTCCGGTATACACTGAATACTTTTAGATTCTTGAATTTGTATTCTATCCGATTTAACGATTAAATTGTCCCTAGTATTTTGTACGATTCCACGGGTATAATTCAACGAAAATTCGTTGTAAATGAAATCGTCCAATGAACATTGAACGCTTTTACTTTCCCCTTGTGTCTGAGTTTGTACTTCCCTCTTGGGACTTTGATAAAATCTTAACGCGACGTGAAAACCAGCAGTAGTCTCGAATATATCCGTTGTACTCGATAAACTTTGATCGGGACTGCACTGTGTACTTTTAGTTTCCTGTATAGTTTGCGTTTCTACTTCGCGTTTTTCTCGTGGCGAATATTGCGTCTCCTTGAAATTACGTTGTATATCATCGAAACTATCTTCGCAAACCTCGCGTTTCCAACTGTCCGGTACAGATTTAAAGAAATTTCTTGGTACAATTGGCGCTGGTATTAACGGTTCTTGATTAGAACAACTTACTGATTCCAATTGACATTCCAACGTTTGACTTTCCAACGTTTGACTTTGATATTCCAAGGAATGTTCTTTACTAATCAAATTATCTTCTTCCTCTTGACAACTTATTATCTCATCTTCCTCCAGCAGCGGACGTTCCTCCTGCTGCCGGAGGATTTCTTCATAATCCTTTACACCTAACTCTTCCTTTTGATCCTTGATAACGTCTTCTACTTTGACTTCTTCTTCTTCTTTCTTTAATTCCTGTTGCTGTTGCTGCTGTTGTTTTTTCTGCTCCTGTTCGTCTGGACGTTCTTGTAATCTTAAAACGAAAGAAATATCTTCGAGGTAACGTTATGCGATGTTCCCTTTCGAAAATTGAACGAATTTAAAATGGAAATAAAACAATAGATAGGAATATATATTGTGGGTGAGTTGTTGGGTGGTGATGGTGTAGGTGGGGTGTTTGGATATAAGGTGGGGGTTAAAGAGATAGAAATAGTCGATCGAAGTCTAAAGTATACTCGAACAGGCTTCATGCTAGTTCGATCTAATGGTTAGAAGCAACAAAAAGGAATCCGCTGAAACGACGAACCGAGAGGTCTTCCGCACTGACCCATTAAGAACACCCAACTCAGGGCAAGTTCAATCGTTCGGAACAATTCTATTCATTACGAAAGGGCTTTTCCTTTACCTCTGTGATGTCTAGTTCTAATATTATTTCCTATCAGAATATAATAGAAACCTTTTGTTCATCATTTACTTCTAATTATTAAGATAATTATTTGAAACGTCAGATATATATATATATATATAGTTGGTTTCACTATTAGATCATTAGATTAATTAGAATACTTGTGATCAATATTTTTAGAATAATATTCATTTTAATATTTGTTATATATATGTATAATTTATTCTAAGAAATATATATATAAGAAAATATATAAAAGTTTCAGTTTGATATATATGATTAAAATTATTAGAAAATTGTTTTCTATTATTAGATTTCAAAGAACGATTGAAGATAATTATTTGAAATTGTAATTATAAATATGATTGCTATATGAGTCATTATACTTTTGTAATATTATCATGATTTTAATATATTGTCTGATATTTAGATTTATATAAAAATTGTACTNATATTGTCTGATATTTAGATTTATATAAAAATTGTACTAATAAAAATGATGATAACGTTTATATTCAAATTCAGTTTAAACAAACTATACGAAATTAAATAATGAAAGTATACATTTTTCTAAATCGTTATTATTATTATTATTATTATTCTGTTGTACGATGTAAGACTTCCTATCGTGTAATTCAAATCAATCGATTCAACGAGACTATCATTTCATTTCATTTTCCTTTTAGCTTTATAAAACGATCGTTAATTTATTTCATTCGCTTATTATTATTATTATTTTTTGTTTTCTAATTAATAATTTTCCATCGAAAAGTTAGAAGCGTTTAAAATTAAATCAAAGAAATTCATTTAAAGAAATAATATTTTATTATGTCGAGATACGCGCGTGACATTTAATCAAAAAGAGAAAAAAAAAAAAAAAAGAAAATGAATTGAACGAACGAATAAATAAATAAATAAATAAATAATGCAACAATTCTAACTGGAGAGAAAAATTGTTCTTGATTATTTGTGTACTAACGATTAATAAATAACGAATAAATCACGAATAAATAATAAGAAGAAGAACAAGAAGAAGAAGAATAAAAAAAAAAGAAGCGACACATAACTGCGGACTTTCACTTCCGGTTTTATGAGTAATAACAAACGCCGTTACGTTGACTGCCCGCAAAGTCAACTTAAATTCTCTCTCTCTCTCTCTCTCTCTCTTTCTCTTTCTCTCTATTTTCTACGATAATAGATAAAACAACGTTTAACAATGAGAGAAAGAAATAAAATAAAATAAAATAAAACGAATAAAAAAAACTAGAAGTAACGTATATATTACCAAGAGGAAAAATTATCAAAACAGTAATAACAACATTTTTATAATAATCTTCCTATAACACATCTTCCAAATAAAACAATTATACAATATATAAATAAGTATCACACAGAATAAAAGGGATATTAAAAGGGTTCGGAGAAGAAGAAGAAGAAGAAGAAGAAAAAAATAAAACAAAATCGAAAAGAAAATATTCAAATATATTATATACGCGAATAGAAATTTGAGTCTAGGATGATCCGATTCGTATTTCGTATACCTCGTGAAAAATTCGTTCACGAGATGAGAATAACGCACACGCACGCACGCACGTACACACGTACAACACACGCGTATACACACCACACGAGAATAAAAATATATATAACCTAAGAGAAGTTGTGAAGGGGGGAGGGGAGGGGTGGGGGAAGGGAGGGAAAGGGTTGTATGAAAATATATTGTTTAAATGTAAGAAGAAGAATTTGGTAAGTATATTATTATAGCGTAACAAATCGTTCGTACTTCTTTTTTTTTTAGATTGTGAATAAATTTGAACAAAAAAAAAAAAAAACCAAGGAGAGAACTTTTTTGTAGTTTCTTTTTTTCTCTTTCTTTCTTTCTTTGAAACCGATTCGAACAAGAACGAAGATTGTTATTACGAACGATAAAAATCGCGATTATAATAATATAAAATATAATAGAAGGTGTGTTTCGTTTGGTGTTGTTTCACTCTCGGAGTTCCCGCGGTGTGTGTGTCTCCGAACAGGTCGTGCGTCACTGCAAACTGGCTTACTCTCTGATCTAATAAACAAGCGCGCTCTGTAACTGTGGTTGTGCCTATTCGGTTGCGCGCGCGAGTAAACCTAATGTAAGTTCTTCGAGAGAGAGAGAAAGAGAAAAAGAAAAAGGAAGAAAGAAAGAAGGAGAGAGAGAGAGAGAGAGAGAGAGAGAGAGAGAGAGAGAGAGAGAGAGAGAGAGAGAGAGAGAGTCTGCACGATTTCCTTCAACCTAACGTTAGCTAACAAAGATAAAACACATAGACACACGTGTAGTAGTGTAGTAGTGGGTAGTAGAATAGTACTTCAAGAAACCAGAGACTTAAGAAGAGAAGAATGGAGAGGAGAAGAGAGGAGAGGAGAGGAGAGTAACTCTAGAGAGGAATATCGTAAGAGAAACGCAGGAAGAGTTGGAAAACACCACGCGACTGACTGACTTACTATGCCGATCGTAAACTTAATACTATCCTTCTCACTCTTTCTCGCAGGCGCATTTACTTTTCTCCTACCTTCCCTACCACCTTCTTTTCTACCCACACTCTAATGTACAAGTATATATATATATATATAGAGGTTGGGTGTGTGTACGTATGCGTATAGAAAACTATTCCCCTTCCTATTCTTTCTCTTCTTTATATTAAACTCACTCTCTCTCTCTTTTTATTCAATTTTTTTGTATTAACACTTTATTGTTAGTTTTTTGTATTTTATCATTGTGTAATACATAGATCGATTTTCTCATTTGGTTATCTTTCTTTCTATATCTTTATCTTTATCTTTCTTAAACAACCATTTACTCTCTCTCTCTCACTCTTTGCTTCTTTCCTTCTTTTCTTCCCACACAAATTCACGTATATATATATATAAAGAACTCCCCACCTATTTCTTCTATATTTCTATCTCTCTCTTATTTTCTCTTTTTTTAATACTTTCTACCGCTTTTATTATTCGACATTGTATTTTTTTCTCTATTTTATACATAAATTGATTTTCTTATATTTGTTCTCTCTCTCTCTCTCTCTCTTTTCTTTTCTTTTCTTTATCTTTCATTTTTTTTCTCTCTCTCTCTCTTTATCGCAAGAATATTTAGTTTTCTCTTTCTTTCTTTTCTAACCACTCACCCACCCACCCACGTGTATATACGTGTAGATACGTATGTATGTATATAAAACTTTCCCACTTTTTTCTTTACATCTATCTATCTCTCTCTCTCTCTCTCTCTCTCTTTCTTTCTTTCTTTCTTTCTTTCTTTCTCTCTTTAGTTTTCTTAACGTTTTATTTTCTATTTTTTATTTCAATGTTTTTTACACCGATTATCTTGAACTCTTTATTTCTATCTCTATCTCTCTCTTTTTTTCTCTTTTAAATATTTTCTTTATTTTTCTCTCCCTTTTAACACTTCATTCGTTTTTCTATTTAATTTTCCTTTCTGTTATCTTATTTAATTATTTTCTTTTGTTTTTTTTTTCTTCTTATAATCAATGATTTTATTTGCCTTTTTTTCTCTCATCAAACGTTTCCATTCTTTTTATCTCTTTTTATTACTTTGATTTTAATACTTTATTTCTCTCTCTCTCTCTTTCTCTCTTATTTTTATCCTTTGAAAAAATTTCATTATCCTTTTCTTCGTAACATTTAATGTCATTTTGTTTCTTTTTAAAAAAAAAACACACTGGTATTCTTAATTCATTTTTTTTATTAACATAGTCTCCCTTTCTTTCTTTTTTTCAATTTAATTTTTATCATTCTCATTTTCTTTCAGTTGTTATTACACTACCCCTCCCCCTCTCCAACCTCCTCATCAACACTTCCTCCGTCTCTCTTTTGTTTAAAATAATATTAAACTTATTTTTTCTTTCTAATTCGCGCACGCACACGTACGCACGCACAACAAACACATACGTACAAACTATATTTTATCCGTTCCCGGATTTATAACGCAAAAAATTTTATACGTTTAAAATTGTTTACGCGAGATTAATATCTTTCTATTTAATTAACATAAATATGTAAATTCTTTTTTTTTTTTTTTCTAAACGCGCGAATGTTCGTTCATTCGTGCATTAAAACGTTTGAAAAGAAAAAAACAAGTCACGTTTAACGATATTATTTACACAATTCGAGTATCTATCTTTTTTATCGTTAATAATACAATCGAAAAAAAATATCGTGTGACTTTTTATTACTAATGTATATATATATATATATATATATGTATAAAAATAATATTTTTAAAAGTTATAACGTTAATTGTTCACAGTTAATTTAATCGATACTTCAGTATTGTTTTCTTCGTTTTATTGCATAACTATCGTATTCCGAAACGAAAACTAACTATACCTAAGGCTTATTGTTAGTTACATGTAATACTAAAGCGAAACGAAGGTTATTCTAAATTATTCCATTCTTAAGCTAGACGTACGTAAACATTTTCTGCTACAAACAAAAAAAGAAAAGAAAAGAAAACGAAATGAAAGAAAAGAACTTGCAAATGAACTCGAGTGAGCAACGTGACCAACGAAAAAATAAAAACAAAAGCAAATAATTATTTTCTAGTTTTTCCTCTTTCTTTTCTTTTATTTTCCTTTTCTTAATTTTTGTTTTTATTTAAAAATGCAAATTATAAAGGATATAATAAAATGTTGTTTTGCACGAATAAACGATCGGAGATTGTATACAGTATCGAGATACACACATTTGTGTATTATTAAATAAAATAAAACTTAAAAGTTAACTTGTATGAAAATTATATATGACAGAGAAAAAAAAAAGAAGAATTATTGATATTTGTTTTAATAAAAAAATCGATCGCATACGTATATATTTCTTTTTAATCGACAAACCTATGAAACTAAATTCAAAGAAAAAAAAATCATGTTATATTAAAAAAGAATGAATATTTTAATTGGAGAAAATGATATTTGCATTTTCAATAATCGTACGATCGTTCGAATATTAATTGTAAAACCCCCTTCTCCTATTTATTAGAAATTTTATTACTATTATATAAAATTAATAATAATAATAATATAATACTTTAAAAAAGTAATTAGTAAAATATGGTAACATGGTAAAAATCATTATATTAATTATATTATTTGTGTTAGAAATTTTATTATTATTTTATAAAATTAATAATAATCATAAGAATAATAATAATAATATTTAAAAAAATATTTAGTAAAATATGGTAACATACGGTAGACAATTTTTTTGTCCGTACGCGACGTACCATCGAGGATAGTAGGAAAAAAAAAAACAAACAAGAAAACATTTCGCGGCTTTACAAGAAATGACCTACATTCCGCAGAATAATTGTGCTATCTCTATATATGTATACACCTATTCTATTCTACTCTGGCAGACGTGTAATCCAGCCCTAATCTAAGGGACCGACAAGATTTACGATATACCTGAAGTATAGTATATATACATATATATATACATACACATATGTATACAACGCTATTTGTTAATCGACGTTCGAAGCCCGTCGTCGTGCATACTGTTAGCGATAATCGATTAGGCTACCGATTTTCCCCTAACTCTATTAACGGATTATAAATTATATTCTTACCTTTTCTACACACCGTACCAACACCATTCCTAAAAGAAACTAATTTTTCTATTTTACCTTAACCGCGTGTTAATAAAATCATCGTCTTTTAATTAAATATTATTATCCTCACATATTTTATTATTATTATTATTATTATTGTTATTGGAATCATTATACACATCATTATAAGACCATTAAATCTTGACATTTTCCTCCTTCTTATCGAAAGACCCTTCTTATCTCCCCTTATGCTTTCACAATCACCCCCATCGTAACTTTAAGTAAACTCTTTTAAAACAAGCCCTACAAGTTTTCCCGTTTTCCAAAAACCTACTGGCATCGGGGTAGGGAGGAGGGAGGGAGTAGGTGAGGGGAGGGGGAGTATGAAACATTTGAACTTTCGACCTAATAATATTTACTCGAATATCCACTCGAAAAGGTTATCAAAATTTCAACCACACTTACACGAACACGACGAAATAAATTATGCATCTTTCTCTTTCCCCCCGGCCCCCCTACTCCCGTCCCAATCCTTCGAAGAATTATTTATTTCTCAACGTGGCGCGTTAAAAAAAAAAAAGAAAAAAAAAAAGAAAGAAGAAGAAGGAAAAGAAAAAGAAAACTTTGTTGCTTACCTTGATTCATCGTAATCTAACACGTTGATTGATTTGTCGTCTCCTAATTTGTAATGATCTTTTCGAATCACTAAAACATCCTCGGGCAAAGTTGTAAGTTCCGGTTTGGGTTCTGGTTCCGGTTCACTAGGGAATGATAGTACACTAACCTTAATGGGAGTTACACGTTGTTTATCAAGGAATTTACTTTTCGCACCGGTGAATCCTCTCTTTGAACCTTCACTACCTGTCCTACTGAGTACCTTTTTGTCTTTACTATCAATATCTTTGTCAGTTTTATTAACATTATCGTCCATTAATTCGGATACTTTGGACAAATCCAAAAGTATTTCAGGTTTGATATTTCTCTCGGACACTTTGTTGTCGTCTAATGCATCATTTTTACCATCAATCAAAGTATTTTCCGAAGTTGATTTGCCCAAAGTGGGTAATTGTAATTGCGATGAAAATCTTTTACTGGTTTCAACCCTTTGAGCAATATCATCACGGTCACGTTCGCGTTGTTTAATTAAAACTATTTCGGCGGGTGAACAAACGTCAATCATTTTAACATCGGTATTATCCAATCTCCCTAATGCAACTTCCTCGGCAGTAATAATCTTAGCCTTGACCAATTGTACTTCAGGAATAAGATAAGAAGACAATTGTTGTTCGTTATTATCCTCGAAAAATATCTCTTGTACTGTCTCCCTTATTCTAACTTCTTTCTTGGATTCCTCTAAAAGTGATTCCTTAGATGATTCACTAGAAACCGTACCTTTCCTTTTTCTCAACGAACTAGCCCTTGGTTTCGTTGATTTAACTACTTCCGTATCGGATATCGAAGTTTTCAATGATCTATTTAAATATTCAACGGATAAACCTCTAGTATCGAACACTCGGAAGTTAATAGAATCCACTGATAAATGTACACCACTTATTGCTTGTTCATCACTAATAGTTTTAACCAATTTACACGGTTCTAGTTTTGTTCTAGTTTCTTCATCTTTTTCTTCTTTTTGATCAACTTTAGATTTGTCAATTATATCTTCAACACCTTTTCCTTTTCCTTCTTTTCCTCCTCCTCCATCCTTGCCTTTTTCTTCTTCTTCTTCTTTTTCTTTTTGTTGTTTATCAGCAGCCTCACGTTCCATTCGTTTTTTCCTTTCGTCGTCCAAGCTGCGTAACAACGAACTATCCTCGTCAAACGTCGAATAGGAATAGGGATCGGTAAATGCGGTTAGCGAGCTATGCTTGCTGAGATACTGAGTGACCCTCTCAATGCACTCCTGTTCTTTTAGACTCTTCCTCTCCTCCCTGGACCTCCTCCTCCTACTCGTTGTCGTTCCTTCCCCATCTTTAGATCTTCTATCCCTCTCTCCTCCTCCACCGTCACCTCTCCTCTTTGATCTTCTCTTAACAACACCGGAACAACAAACGTCCTCATCCTTATCACCTTTTATTTTCTTATTTAAAATCTTATCCGTTGATTCTTCCGATTTATCAAATGTTTCACTCAAAGTTATCGGTTGTTCTTGTGACGATGATTCTAACCTTGACTCCAAACCATTATAACTCTTTAAATTTGTACGTTTATCATCGTCCGATATTATTATTTTTTTTCTTAACGTTGACGACTTATCGGATAAATCAACAATTTTGTCATCATCTTTATCTATCCTTTCTTTTATATTCATTTTGTCTTTTGTTCTAACATCATCATCACCATCATCATCATCTTCTTCTTCTTTTTCATTCTTCTTCTTTAACTTAACCTTAGGTGCAGCTTGTTGTTCGACTCTCGTTATCACGTCGGAAATTTCATCAATTTCTTTGCCATCTTTCTTCTTAACTATCGATATAATACTCTCAGCAGCAACAGCAGTAGTTGGCGTGATCGCATATTCCTCCTCTTCCTCCTCATCATCTTCTTCCTCATCTTCCTCATTCATCTTCAACGATCCCTTTACAAGATATGCATGATACGTACCCGTGCCGAATTTTTTATAATCATCCATTATTTCATCTTTATTTTCTTCCTTTCCTTCTTTCTTCGGCACAATTTTTAATTGTTTTTTCATCGTAGGACTGCAAATTGGTGTTAACGGTGATGCATCTTTCCAATGATCCTCTTCCTCTTCCTCCTCCTCCCCTTCTTCTTCTTCTTCTTCTTTTTCCTGTTGGTCATTTTCTCGTTTTTCGTCACGTTTCAGCTGATTTAGTTGCTGATGTTGTTTCCGAGATCTTTGATTATCATCTTCCTTTCTTTCTTGCTGGTCGGTGGTGGTTGAAACACCGGTCACACCTGAGAAACAACAGTAAGTACTCGGTTTAAATTGTTTTTTTCTTATTTTTTGTTCTTTTTCTTTTATTATCGAAGAAACTTACCCGATCGAGATGAAAGAAAATCTTCAAAATCGGCTGCACGATCGGTTGTTTCACTCTCGTTCGGGAAACTTCGACTGCGTCGGACCGTACAGATCGGTGGTACCCTCTGATCAAGCCCAGGAAGATAAAATTTAACATTAGCTTCTCATTCCTTGTTCTTCCCGTTTATTATTACAATATTTCTATTATTTGTCTTTTTTTCTTTTTTCTTTTCTTTTTCTGTGTACTATTATTTATTTTCATCTAATTTTTCTATTTAATTTTATACACATATTTATACTTATATATGTATAGGTATATTCGTATTTTTATGTTCATTTTATTGATCGTTAAATATATTCTTATATTCGATTTTTAATTTATATATATATATATATGTGTGTATGTATAAATATGTGTATTTTCATTTGTGATTATTTTTACTCTTTTATTCTTTTTTTAATATATAGGTTTCTACTTTTATATATTATAGCTTTTCATTAAACTGAATATTAATTCATACTTTAAATTATATATCTAATAGGAAATTTGTTCAAAGCATAATATTAAATAGGATCTGTAATAATATTACACAATTTCTTCGATTATGGCGAATAAAATAATATACGGCGATTATATTATTACTTTTAAAAGCGAAAAATTATTAATGATAATTTGGCAAAAGGGTATAAATAAATCCTATGAAGAGGAATTAACAAAGCTGATTTAATAAGAAACAATTTTTCGCATCACATTTATATATATCCACAATTTTATATTAAATAAATATTAATAATTATATTCCATGAGAGTAAGAGTTTCTAATATGTTTCTCGATAATCAGCTGTGCGTGATAATCAAAATTTCTTTTATATTTATAATTAATTATTCATTACTCCTATCTTTATATTAAACAAAATTGAAACGTTGTTTCTATAAGGGTTAACAAATTAATTAATAAATAAATAAATAAAGAACAAAAACGTCCGAGTTTTGCAAAATAAGGCAAACTCGGTCGTAAACGAGAAAAAAAAAGCAAACTGTTGAAACGTAATATTAAATAAATAAATAAATAAATAAATAAATAATATATAGTAATTATATTACACAATTTATATCAATGTACACATTAAATTATAATAATAATAATAATAATAATTATTATTATTATTATTACTACATAAGAGTAAATGATCAATTTTACAAAATGGGGATGGGAATATTTATATGTTAATGTTATTATTAATAAAGTACGAATAAATCGATTATTTACAATCGCATTTTATTTTTACACAAGGCAGTTTAAGTAAGTACTTTTTTTTATTTTTCTTCGTTTTAACTGAAAACATATGTATATATGTATATACGTATATAAATACGAATTAGCGTACCGGAAACTAGAGCCGAATTATTTTTTTTTTTAAAAAACACACTAGCTTACTTGCCAACGATATTATTATGCAACTTGCCATTAGCTGACGTATAAAATATGCTCGTGTGTACTTAGGCTACCGTTCAAAAGCAATATGTACATACATATATATATATATACATACGAAAGCAAACGACAAAAAGATAGGAAAAAAGAAAAATAAATTATTAATTAGATATGTGAGAAAAAGAGAGAGAGAGAGAGAGAGAGAAAGAGAGAGAGAGTATGTGTATAACTAACACACGTACCAACACACGCAAATTCTTATGCAAAAAATACACAATGTGTATTTGAAATATTTTGATTATCGTTGTTAAATCGATGATCCATCGATGATCAATTTTTTATCCTTCAAAACGGCATAATGGTTGGATTGTTTATTTTATTTACTGGATCATGCCAATCCTCGATGACAATCCTTCATTTTTTTTTTGTTTTTATTATGTATATATATATATATATTTTTTTGTTAGATAAATTTTATCTAAAAGTTTTATTAAAAGTCATCATCATCATCATCACACTTAATAACTTACCTATTTGTTTTTTGAGAAGTGATATTTATACGTAATATTATTTTATCGTTGAATGCTGAAAATTTGTTTTGTTCTTTTTTTTATATATATGTATATTATATAAGGAACAGATTGAAATAATAAGATTAGAAATTGTATAAATGATATTGCGAAAGGTGGATAAGTTAAAGGAAGAGAATGAGATTGTTTATGTTGGGGAATTTCATTGCTATGATGAATTTTATAATCTATAAATATGTATATACATATTTTCTTGTTGTTTAATTTTGTAATGAATTTGATAGGGTAGAAAAATTGAACAAAATTTCTATTAAAGAGAAATATTGCAAAAATTTAGAAAAATAAAGAGAAAGATAGTTTTGTAAAAATAAGTATAGAACAATTAGAATGAACTTGGATAAACCTATTTGTTTTTTATATATATATACTTTATATGCACATATATTTTTGTTGAATACTGATCAAAGAAATCTTGATTAAAGAATAGAAAGGAAATATAAATAAGAAATTAGATGTTTTCATAGAAAATGTTATGATACGTAACCAATTTTAAATTTAAATTATGCATACGCATACATATAAATATGTATAATAAGTATTACATATACTTATATACATATATATATATATATATATACAGATTGTCCTAGTTTCTTTTCACAAAATTTTACCAGCGTATATTATAATTAAAAATAATAAAATAAAGGTTATATATACAAACGTGGGCCTCTTAAATGCTTAATTAAAAAGCAGAATTCAAATGTAAACCTGTATACGTATACATATATGCATACGTACTTCAGTCGAATGCTAAACAAAAAAAATAAATTTAATTAGAAAAACACAGATACGAAAAGAATTATGAGAAATTATTAAAAAGCAAAGAAGGAAAAAAACGATTAAAAAAAAAAAAAGAGAAAGAAAGAAAGAAAGAAATAATGTTCGCATTAAATTTGTATAATTTAAATGTGCATATGTTACGTACAAACATTGGTTGAATGCTGAAAGAAAAAAAATGGTTTAAGTTAGAAAAAAAATCATTAAAAATCAATTAGTAAAATGATTGAATTATGAAAAAAGAGAAAGAGAAAGAGAGAGAGCGAGAGAGAGAAAAAGAGAAATAATTTTCGTAAAGGATTTCACAGTTTCACACAACGAAGTTTAGAGACGGATATGTATATAATATAT